TTTCTCTTGCTCGGGAATCTTGCTACTCTTTGAAGGCGAATTGTTAAAATTCGGGTTGTTATACGTTGCTGGCTTGTCCGACTTTKCTGCCTTTAAATCTGAATGCCGAAAGAAAATTGACGCCCGCTCGCGAATAGCMCTGGTATCCGCCCATTCGAGTCGTGATAATTCAACTTGTTTGGCGAGGTTGGTGTAGAAGGCACGTACACTGTGCCAAGAATAACTGATGGCTTTCGTCGCCAATAATTCTAATAAAGACAACATTKCTGCTTTCTGAGCCGCGTTATAAGGCTTGATCATTGCAAGAAAACCAGCAAAATACTCCGACATGTCAAGCGTGGCTTCGTCAGTGTTACTTGACATACCTGGTATGTGATCGTGTGGCCAGTCGATGTGTTTCTTTTTCTTTGTTAACGAAGACGAAGATGTTTCAGGCGCATCTGGAACTTGATGTTGCTGCCTTGTCTGGAGAATTTTCAGCTCTAACTCCAAACGTTCTTTTTCCAGGCGAGCCAAAGTTAGCTGCTTCTCCATATCTCGTTGGACGCAGAAGGCGGAGATAGTTGCGCTCTTCCCGACGAACGGGGTTGTGAAGGAGGTTGCCCTGCTGCTGTTAAAGGTGGCGTAGATTGGAAGCCAAGCGAAGAAAAATTCCCGTCCAGATCGTACAAGAAGTCTTGATGTCGTTTGTCTTTAGATAATCTGGACGAGCGGCGTGGTTGATTCGATGTGGCCTTTATTTGGAATGATTAGAGATTGACGGTACTCTGGCAGGAGCGTGCTTAATAGCGAGAGTTGCCTTCCCGACGATTGGAAAAGAGTTTGATTTAAAAAAGAGTTTGATAACGCAAGCTATTGTTCTCTAAATGAACTGCAACAATAATGACAACTGATCACGCCACGCACCGCGATATATAGGCATACAAATGACGTAATGGGATCAGTATATAATTACCTATTATCACAAGGTGATAATCCACCTGCTATATATATATGGGTTGGGGGGGGGGGGTTACTCAATGTCAGAAGGAGGGGGGGCTCGAAAAATATTGTGATAGAGTAAGGGGGGCTTCGAATTTTCTCAAGTTTTTTTATACTTTTCCTCCAGACCACCCCGAGGCATACTTAATGAACAGTCCCTAAAACACCCGAGCAATTTTTCCTTGACAAGAGGAAAAATTACTTGTGTAAATAGGGTAAAATGGGCAATTTTTCGATGTCAAGGAAAAGTCAAAGGTTTGCTTTTCCTTGACAAGGAAAAATTGTCAAGGACGAAATTTGCTCGTGTAAATGGACAACAAGGAAAATGTGGCAAGGAAGAATTGTCAAGGAAAACTTGTTGACCATTCACACGGCAATTTTTCCTAGTCAATTAAGAAACTTGTTAAGGAAAAATTGCTTGTGTAAATGCCGCTTTATTAATTGTAAAATGGGTGCATACAAATATAGTAATTGAAGGTAATATTATATTGAATATAGTACATAACTTAAGTGGATGGTGCCAAAAATAATTTCCAAGTCCTTTAAGGTGTCTGGATAGAGTTGTTTAGAACACTGACCGTGACGAAAGGTAATTTAAGTGGTCAGATCATTATAATAATTTTTACTACACGATTAACAAGGGACTCAAATTCATATTGAGTACATTTGGTGAAAATCGGATTTAATTTATGCGTTTTATGGGGAGATCCAGGAAAACGATTTTTACAGCTATTTCAAACAAATTAGGCCTATGTTTTCCGCAATATCTCAGGGACATATTATTAGAGGTATTTGCCTAACTATTACCAAAGTAAGTTTGGTCGAAATTCATCGAGGAAAGACAACATCATGCGCATGCGGTACTTAAGGTGTTTCATAGTGGTTGGCACTCCCGCGCACCTAACATTTTTAAACGGCCGTTTGACCAACGTAATGTAACTCGATTTTCATAAAATAAACAGGCAATGGTGTACTTAGATGGAAAATTTTTAAACATGTATTGATTTTGAGAAAAACGATTAAACTTGTATGTATTGTGTTTTTTGTGCTTTTACGAACACGCTCACAATGGTCCATAGTCATTANGCTCAATAAAAATGTTAGGAATGATAGAGCTATGTTAAAATTGATGACATATGTGAAACCTTTAATTCCCTTATTGCTCAATTAAACAATGGCGTGTGATAATATTTACACAATATTTACTCAATATGAATTTGAATCCCATCTTAATCATGTAGTAAAATATTATTACGATCTGACCAACTTATTAAATTACTTTTACTTTGACCCGTTTCTTTTGTCCTGGTCGGTGTTCTAAACAACTGTATCCAGACACCTTAAATTCTTACCCTATGGGAGCTCAAATCCCTCAATTTTTCTTTCTCAGTATATTGTAATAGTGCATTTCCATTCCTCACTTGCTAATTCCTTTCCTGTAGTTTTATGAAGAGGTGCCACGGGATAGTGAACAAAACATTTATCAGGACATCTTGTAAACATCTTGATTACTATACATCATCAAAATCATTAATGATTCATCAGCTAAACACAATGGAAAATCATTCCGTGCCTGAGAGATTTGTCCTGATTTGCATACAGTTAATTTTAATTCAATTTTCTCTTAAAAATTATAAACTTCATCTAGCTTTAGATGGGCTCTAAAAGGGTAAGGGCTAATATTTTATATTTTATCTGAATGTTAATTAATAAGATAATCTTCTAATGTTTTCATTCAGTACAGTGTTGTTCTTGATGCTGGCTCAACACATACAGATCTGATGGTTTACCGTTGGACAAAAAAGGATATTATCCATCACACTGGACTTGTAAAACAGATTGGTTATTGTACAAGCAAAGGTAAATTTTGTTAATATGGTCAACAGAGTGTTATTTACCTTACCTCAGTAAAAAATTCCTGAAGGAAATATTTTCCTTCACGAATTTTTATTGAGGTTTAAAAGGTAAAATACACTCTGTTCGCAGGGTAGTGACATTGTGTTATTTTAATATAAAACTTCACATGTCATTTGCAGATGATTGTTTTAAAAGTGTTTGACTTTCTTCAAATGCTTTATTGTTAATAAAAGGTCCTGTCAATCAATTTTAATATTCTGGAAATCAGTTAAATTCTATTTTCTAATATGTTGTGCTTGTAGATCGTATTAGTTTGTGTTTTATGTGATTAAATCAGTTCTGCCTGACCTTTTCTACCAGAGAAGGTATCTGTTAGTCACTCAATCCGCTTGGATAGACAAATAATCTCACATAAATGAGGACCTTTGTCCTGCCACAATTATAATTGTCAGTTGCTTCTTATTTTTTTAATGGTAAGGGGTGGTTAAAACAGTCATTATCTGCAGGACTTTCAACAAAACTTGTTTTATCCTATGATTGAATACCAGCTCTCTATGTTTTGTTTMGTTTTTGTCTTTATTTTGTTTACACTATAATATTGCAATATTAATGATCACTTTAGGAGGAAGTATTTCCAGCTACTCAAAAACGAATCCTAATCAAGCAGGGGAATCTCTTCAAAATTGCATTGATGATACTGCCAAAAAGTTGATTCCTTCATATTTACATCATAAGTCACCAATTTATCTTGGGGCTACTGCAGGAATGAGACTTGTAGAGTAAGTTATAATATTGAAAAGAATCAACATACATGCTGTATATTTTTTATAAAGGAAATTATGACTGATTTGAGAGCATAATTATGATACTTTYAATAGTGACTAAGATATTTTAATCAGTCTGTCAGACTGAAATACATGTATTAAGTTCTTTTGACAATATTCAGGAAAGTGGATGAAAAGGCTGCCAAAGCAATTATGAAATCAGTCAGACATGCATTATTCAAGTCAAATTTTAAGTTTGGAGATGGCAATGCCAGGATTATCACTGGAGAAGAAGAAGGTTTGTCGTCATGGGTAACAGTCAATTATTTGAAAGGAACACTGCTTTATAGAGAGGTAATTGAACATTGTCCTTTTGACTGTTGACTGGCTTACTACTTAATGAAAGAACTTATATAGGACCTAATACAGATTAAATACTGTCTGATGAGTGCGTAGCACGAAACTCGGAGTTACAGAAAAAAATCTTGCCTTTTTGATATCATAATAACTTATATATATAGCTCTACACTGTATGTGTATTGATCACTCTTTAATGGGATCAGCCACTTCCTCATACGATTAGGACCTAATACACATATTATTAGGGTCCAATGGTTTCTTTCATAAAGAAACAGTTGTGTAAAAAGATAAATTAAACACCGTAAAAAAAGTAGGTGAAGCTGTAACTTACTGACGTTTCGGACGTTAAATCCTTCGTCGGAGTAGAAGTGATGAAACTAGGTAAAGGGTGAGTTTATATAGTAAGAGTAAGAAAGAAAATAGACCAATAGTGTAAACGTATCGTGGAGATACTAGTTGTCGTTAGAAACTCCGTTTAATCAGCTACATAACTACATAACATGAGAACTCAATCTCGTACCCAGCGCCACTGTCCCTCTTACTCGCAG